CGCAATCTTTCTCTCTCTCTCTCTCTCTCTCTCTCTCTCTCTCTCTCTTTTGGGAGGCAGAGGCCTCGGTGCGGGAGAAGAAGCTGGCGGCTTTGCTTCAGCTGGCCAAGGAAGGCGATGCGGCGCAGCAGGCGCTGGCCGAGCTGCCCGGGAGCCCCTTCAAAGTGGACAGCTTCGCCGTGGTCATCCTGGGCTTTGCAGCTCAGAAGAGCCTGGAGGCCGTGGAAGCCGAGCTCTCGAAGGAGAAGGGCATGAACCCCAAAGCTGTCCTTGCGGGACTCCAGGCGGTAACCAAAGAGTTGTCAGACTTGGATCCCGAGAGCCCCGACACCGTCGCGCTCCGAAGCCGAGCCACGGAGTCTTGCGAGACAGTGACTCAGCGGATGATCGAATCCTTGGAGGATGCCGTGCAGGCATCCAACGAGGCGAAGCAGAAGGCGCTGCTTAGCTTCGCCAAGGAGTTCGATGCCGCCTGCGGTGGTCTCACAGGAAGCTCCCTGGAGGCTGAGCTCCAGACACGCGCACGTGTCTAGCTTCGTTCTTAAGCCACCAAAAACCCACTGACAATGCTCAGTGAGTGACGTCCCTCATGCACGTTGAAAGAAGAAGGACGACCCCTCGACTCCACTCGCCAGCTCTCCTCGGGTCCGCCAGCCTCCAGCAGCGCTGGGATCTGCCTGGCAGGTACATCTCCGAAATGAGAACTGGGATGCGTCGGATCACGCGTGCAGGACTCCACGCGCATGCTGCAGCAGCATCCACGGCCCGCAGCAGTCATGCTGGAACAGTTCCAGGCAATGTCTCAGCCTTGAGCCTGAGACAGAGCTCCTCCTGGAGGCTCGGGATACTGTCCGTTCCTGGCGCCGCCATGATTGATTTCACTAGCACTTGAATACTGCCTGGTATCATGCTGCGCAGCGCAATTTCGTGTGGAGCGACAGGTCGCGACTGAGCTGCAGCGCAAGGAGAGGCAGATGTCCTTGGCCGAGGTGCCTCTTTTAGGATACTTTTTCGGGTGCGTGCTACAAGTGTTTCTACAATGGTCGGGTAAATTCGGGCAATTCATACACTCGGGATCAATGCTTGTTTGGGGGACAGCCGCTGCCCTTGCCAGGCCTGCGCCAGACGAGCTTTGGAAAGCAAGGACACGGGCCAGGCAGCGAAGGGCTGCTAAACACATGTGAGAGTTGCACAAGAATAGAGGACCCCTCTAATATAGAGTCCGCATAGAAGAATCCTTTTAGTCAGCCCGTCAACTGCTGCTGCTACCGCTGCCGCTACCGCTCCTTCTCCTGCTCCTGCTGCTGCTATTGCTGCTACTATGCGCTCTTGCTACTACTGCTGCCACCACCACCACCACCACCACCACCACCACCACCACCACCACCACCGTGACAGTACACATGCCGAGAGACGCAGCATTGAAAGGGTCACAGCGTGCTGGCGGACGTGCTGGCACAAATGGGCAAGGCTGATTCCCCTTGGGCTTCTCCTGGCATCAGCGTCCTTGCGAGTTCTGCGAAGGCCGAGGCATCGGTGCTGGAAGCGCAGGTGGCCCTGAAGATGCTCGCAGATCAGCCAGACCTACGTAAGGCGCCAGTCGGAGCCAGGGCAAGGGGAGGGGGGAGAGGCTTTGTGCCCGCAGGTGATTTTCTCCAAGGCCTTGAAGCTCTGCCAGGTGGGGGGGGGGGCTTGTGGGTGAGGGCGATAGAGCGTGATAGAGTGCGACAGGGGTGATGCGCATGGCGTGCTGGCACTCGCAGAGCTGGGCCAGGAGCTGGAGGACGCACCTTTGACAGAGGCCCTGCACGCCTGCCAAAAGCTGGCGGATGTGAGCCTGGCATCTTTTCGGCCTCTTTGCAGCACTGAGCATGTCCGCTTCCGTGAGTGCAGCGTGCCAGGAGCAGGCGAAGCAGCCGGCAGCATAGAACCCTAGTCCTGCGCGGACCGGAGATCTCGGCACCCGAGAAGCTGTATCACCTGGCCGGGCAGCGGAGAGCCGAACGCTGCCTGGTGGGTTTCACCCTGCAGAGTTCCCAGCCACCCCTGGCAAACTCAGGCAACCTGGGCTTTGCCGGATTGAAGACGACCATAAAGCATATTGAATCATATGTTGACACACAGTATCGACCCTCTCCGTTGCTCTAGCTTTGCTGTCTCTCCGCATTCCTGACCGATCTGTCAAGACATGAGGCAGTTTCCTGTGGCCAACAATCTGCTATAACTAGGTAACTAGGTCTGGGGTGCTGGGTGCTGCTGCGCAAGAAGCGCGCCCTGCATGCGAAAACGAGGTCAACGGGTGCACGAAGTCTTGGCAGATGAGGCCCAAGTCGTAAAATGCCAGAGCCTGAACCGTGAAACCTGAACACCTTAGCGCCTCAGCTGTCCGTAGCCGGAGCTCTGAAATGCCGAAAAGTCTCGGGCAATGTCCAAGAAACCTCAGTAGCACGTGCAAGCCGTGCATGGTCACGACGGGCTCCCTTCGAAGCATGAAAGACAGCGAACAGGACACAACGACACAACAGGACCTTTCTCCCCAAAATCCCAAGCGATGCTCGGCCTTCGGCGAGGGGCTTGGAGCGGCATGCGGCTGTGGCGAATCGGTCCGAAGGAGAGCAGGGCCTCCAGGGTTTTCCTGTTTTGCAACTTAAAGTCGTCCCTGTTTCTAGGCCTTAGGCTCGCTGAAGTCTGAAGGTCGCAGGAATTGCGACATGTTTGCAGGCCGATGCAGTCCGAGTGGCAGCTGCGCGGGACTTAAGACTCCAGCCGTCTACGCTGTAAGGTTTTAAAGTTGCAGCGGCCATCGTTGCGACTTCGAGAAGACAGTCACCCAGGACTTGGAGAGGAAGCTTGGCCAGCAGGACAGCCAGCATGCGAAAGGGCGAGAGACAGCGCGCTCTCAGTCAGTGCTTGGCAGCCAAGCGGAGGGGGGGGGCCGCTTTCTTCCGTTTCTTGCGCCTGCGCAGAGCTTGTGTTCCGAAGACCTTGGCTCGACTGCTGCCCCGTGGTGATTTTCCCAACTCAGAAGAGGGTTCGAATGGAGAGCTCTATTCGGGGCTCCCTGGGGAGCTGCGCTTCGGTTGGAGACTCCATCCTGAAGCAGCTCGCGGGTCTGGAGCAGTCGCTCTCCTCCAACCTCGCCGGGCTTCGGCAGATCCGTGCCACTGTTGCCGCCATGGAAGGGAAGCCGGAGAGTCAGAGTCAGAGGGTGTCCGCGACGCCGGCTGCTGTGTGCGAGGGCACACAGGAGCAAAGGAGCACGCTTCTCGAGACCAAGTGGCAGCTTTGAAGCATCAGCCTTCTATGCCAGCACTGCAGCCGGGGTTCACCGCGACAAACCTGGGGTGCCTTGCCTCAGGAGCCAGGCTCAGTGCGAGCACTGGGCGGCTTGGACGGAGTCTGACGTCTGGGAAGGACCCGGCGTGTTCGTGAACGCTCAGGACCATCTTGACTGCCTCCAGCTGTGGCAGGAAAGATACCTGGCGAACTTAGCAATGAATGCCGGAAGCTTACTGTAGCTGCAATCTCAGAAACACGCCTCTATCCCGATCCCACTGCATTGCAAAGGTCTGCTTCCCGAGTCGTGTCCTCCCCGCAAGCGGGCGGTGACCTTCACCGCGATCTCGCCGATGCAAGAGACGAATCGGGCACGGGATCGGCACACCTTGGCGACGCACCGACTGTCGGTATTGAATGCCATCTCAGAAGCAAAGTCTGTCCCTGCACCACGGGAGCCAAGCAAAAAAAGCGTCTTCTTCGATGCCAGCACGCTCAAGAAAAAACTCAAGGAAGACTTGTGCAAGGACATTGGGACATGGCTTCTACCACACGAGATGTGTGCACTGCCAATGATGAAGCCATGTACATGTAACGTGTACACACATGTCTCTGCACACACATGCGCAATATCGTATACCTATTCGCACTGTAATGCATGGTGTATACAATATGCTTTGTCATGTGTTTTCCGCGAGCACTTGTAGCCTGCCGCAGGAGACATACAACGTCAGCGACTACTATCGCAATGAAGGTTTTTGTCGTGATCTCAGGAATGTTTTAAGAATACCCCAGTTGGACTTGCCCATCGCTTCATGTGTTCTGCAAGGTCAGCGAGTCGCCAGGAGTCGTGTCTTCGAGTCATCACCTTTGTTATTTTGGCGAGCAATGCCATTTGGACAGGCCATCCTTGTCAGTACAGACCTGCATTGACAGGGACGGTGCTCTACTTAGCACTCACCTTTGTGAATTTGCCAGGCGTTGAGATCGAAGTCAATGACGCACCTGTCATCTTACAAGCGCATGCTGCCGTCATTCTGATCGAGAGCTTCTTTGTGCTCTATTTTACGCTTGAAATTGGACTGCGTTTTGGTGCTTTCAAGAGGAGCCGGTTGTTTTCTGATATTCACTCCCGGAATGCACGCATACAGCTCGCATAGTCGTGCGTCCAGCCATTCAGCGTCCCTATGTGCACAGCCTGCCTTCATGTTGCATATGTTGCTTGATTGGAAACCTTGTCTGGAAGGACTACTAGACATGTAAGGTCGCAGCAGCGCAGAAGCAAGAGGCATCAGCTCCCTGCGAGGACATGCGATGCATGTCGCGATGGCTGGTTTGCCTTCGACACGGTGCTTGTCATTCTGATGTGGTTCGAGACCTGGTTGCTGTCCCTTGTCCAGATCGTCTTCGGTGATATCTCGAACTCCTCGAGTTGCTTCTCTGCATGTAGAATACGATGGTCTTCTTTGGTTGAAGACAAACCGGGTGGTACTGGTACTAGTTACTAGTAGATGCGGTAGCTGGCAATAGGAGGTGCGCTTTCTTGCAGGCTTCCGTCTGATTCGGCTGCTTCGCCTCACGCGGATGGCAAGGATGGCCCGACTTCTCCGAAGCGTGCCGGAGCTCTTGATAATTGTCAGAGCTATCGCCATTGCCTTGCGGTCGGTGTTTTTCTTGATGGTTCTTCTCCTTGGCCTGGTTTATGTTTTCGCCCTCCTCTTCAGCCAGCTCTTCGACGGCAAGAACCAGCCGCCGGGACTGCCCGGCATTGCATGAGAGAGAGTCTTCTTGAGCCTTGTTTGGGTCATCTGCAGCGTCCCTAAACCCTTACCCTAAGCCTTAAACCCTAAACCTTAAGCCCCTAAACCCTACCCTAAACCCTACTCACTTTTGCAGGAACTCTGGCGCACAAGAGCTTCGGAAGCCTGCCACAGGCGATGAACACGCTCCTCATGGCCGGGGCGCTCCCAGACCAGTCCTCGTTGGTCGAAGACGCCGGAGCCGTCCACTTCCTGCTCTATCCTCTGATGCTCCTCTACATGCTCCTGGCCTCCCTCACCGTCATGAACATGCTCGTCGGGATCCTCTGCGAGGTCGTCAGTGTGGTGTCAGCCGTCGAAAAAGAGGAGATACTGCTGAAGTCCGTGAAGACCCACCTGAAGCAGCTCCTCTTGGACGCCGAGGCCGACGAGGCCTGGCAAGTTGGGGCCCTGTTTTGCAGACCTCTCCCTCTCCCTCTTTCTCTTTCTTTCGTTCTCTTTCTTGTTCTGTCTTCCTTTCTCTCTCTCTCTCTCTCTCTCTCTCTCTCTCTCTGTTCTCCTATTATCGGTTAGGT